TTCCTGTCTGATGAACAGTGGGAGGGGTCGAAGGTCCAGTGTCGCTTCGCAGTTGGAGTTGTCGTCATGCAGCCGGTCGTCGCCATGCTAGCGAGTCTTTGGAATTTGTCCAGCTTGTCGGTTGCGGTCGTCAGCTTGGTTCGTGGCCACCATACTATCGCGGCGTAACTGATCATGGGTCTTATCACCGCAGTGTAGAGCCATAGTGTTATCTTGGGTGAAAGTCCCCATTGTTTACCCACCATTCTCTATGGCACTGCCAGAAGGTGATAGTAGCTTTTTTAATTTTGTTGTCCAGATGTTAGTTCCAGTTCAACTTGCTGTCCAGTATTACTCCCAAGTACTTGACTTCGGTTGATATCTGTAGTTCTGTGCTGAAGAGTTTGGGTAATCGGTAGTTACCTAGTAGTCGTTTGTTTGTAAACATTACTAGTTCCGTCTTTGTTGGATTTACCGATAGTTCATATGATCTGCACCATCTTTCCACAATTCGGAGAGCAGGTTGTGTAATGTCGCAGAGTGTATTGGCATAGTTTCCTGTTACCAGTATACCTATGTCATCAGCATATTCTACTGTATAGAAATGTTCTTTGTTGAGTTTAATGATAAGGTCATTTACGACCATGTTCCACAGCAGAGTCGACAATACTCCTCCTTGAGGGCACCCCTTCGCTACTATGGCCCATGGGGTCTCATTTGCTGTTGTATTTATTGTTCTTTGTTTCAGCATGTTGCTAATGCAGCTAATTAGTACTTCATCTACTTTGTGTCTTGTCATTGCAGATTGTATGCTGGAGAAGTTGGTTTTATCGAAGGCTCCTTCAATATCTATAAAGGTGCCTAGGCAGATTGCTTTGTCTTTAAGGGCCACTTCTATCTTGCCCATAACGACATGTAGAGCCGATTCAATGGATTTGCCTTGGCTGTATGCATGTTGGTTACCGAGTAATGGTATGTTCTTAAGCGCTCCCTCAGTTCTCTGTAACATAGCCTTTCTAATGTCTTCAAGAAGAACGATGTGAGGCTGATTGGTCTGAAGGACTTCGCGTCAGTGTAGTCGGGTTTTCCTGGTTTCGGTATAAATATGACTTTTACCTCTCGCCAGCTGTGGGGCACATAGCTGAATGCTAGACAGGCCCGAAAGATGTTGAGTAGGTGCTGGACCAGTGTATCCCCGCCCCATTGTAGGAGTGCAGGGAATACTCCATCTTGGCCCGGAGCTTTGTATGGTTCAAAGGTGTTTACTGCCCATTTTGTCTTTTCGTATGTCACTACTTGCTCTGCGTATCGCCAGTTATGGATCGATGTGGTGTAGTTCATTTCTACGCACCTGTCGTCTTGGACGAACCTACATCCTGGGAAATGTACTTCCAGTAGGGTTCTTTCCGTTTCCGCAGGGGAAGTTGTGTATGTGTTATCTATTTTGCGTATTGAACCTAGCTCAATTGAATTTGAGTTGCCTAGGACTTTCCTTATTCTGTTTGCTTGTGCACAAGACGTGATGTTCCCGCAGTAACCTTGCCATGACGCGGTGCTCCTGAACCGTATGCGCTTTTTTAGTTTGGATTTGGCCGTCTTGTAGTTTTCCCAGTCCTCATCCGCGCATGTGTTCATTGCTCTATTGCAGTGTCTCCTTACCCTTCTTCGTAGCCTCTCAAGCTCAGGCCCCCACCAGTGTTGGCCTTGTCGCGGGGCTGCGTCACTCAGTGGGCATGCGGAGTTATAGCTATTCAATATGTTTGATGTTAGTTCTTTTACCTGTGTTTCTATCTGTGCTGCTGGACAGCAGTCTTCCCGGTACTCCCGGTTCTCCCAAGCTCTGGTGTAGTTTGTACGTGTACAGTTTACGATCGGTTTTCCTGGGATTCCGTTTCGCTTGTTGTTCTTTAATGGCTGTTTCTAAGCTGAATCTTATCCTTCTGTGGTCTGAGAAAGATGCTTCTTCGGACACGTGCCAGTTGTGGATAAGGTCCACTGCTCCTTCTGACGCTAGGATTAGGTCTATAATAGTTCTACATCTTTTATTTATAAAAGTTGGTACTATACCTTTATTAAGGATTTGAAGGTTAGTTGTGAATAAGTATTCTGTTAGGTTCTTACCTCTGTCATTTGCGAGTTCCATGCCCCACAACAGATGGTGGGCATTGGAGTCAGTAGCCACGATAATATTCTGGCCGTTCTGCTCGCAGTAGTTGGTTAGCTGTACCATTTCCTGCGGTGGTGGCACATCAGTCTCCACCATATAGACAGAGGCGAGTACCACTTCAGGCAGACCCATGGCCGCGTCAGCTAAAAGCTTTACGGCACACAGGTCTCTGGAACAGAATTCAGTTAGGCTGTACATGTAAGTTATTGGAGTAATATATGCAAGTTCTAGGTTTATCTGAGATGGTAGTCGATAGTAGCTTACCTCTCAGATGTGAGAGTCCATTTATTTGGCCACGGGCACTAATCCACAGGATTCCTGGATTAGTGCCATGGCTGTGTTGTTAGCCTCCAACCATTTCCGGAGCTGAACCGTTGCGTCCTGGCTGTGGTGGAGGTTGCTCTGGACGATGTGAAGTTTACTGAGCGAGGGGGAAACCGCCATCAGAAGATAGCAGCTCCTCGTCCATGTCCTCGCTCAGTCGGATGTCTCCCATCCCCAACACACACTCGTCGTCACTGCTGGTCGCCACCGGTTTGACAGCGGCGTCCACAGAGACGGGGGTCAAGGAGGGCCCTTCACCTTCTCCGGGGTTATCGGACGAGGTGGAGGGCTCCGGGTAGACGTCCATCCGCGTCGCTATTGTGCCCGTCTTCGGGTGGCGCATCGGTGTACAGGCCCCTCTTTGATCTGAACCTGAGGTAGACCGTGCCCAACTGGAAGGTTAGGCGCCGGCCATGACCCAGGACAGCGGGGACGAGTTCTTCTGGGAGGCTCACCACTACGAAGGAGTTGTCACTATGCTGCTGCAGCATGTGAACAACCCAGCGGTGTGCCTCCGCCCACGGGCGCATCCTCCCAGCGACCAGGGATTAGTATTAGTAGTCTGCAGACCACCCTCCGGGGAGCCCTCACCCCATTTTTCAACTAGAGGGGCTCCCCGGATGTCAGCCTAATGGTGCTAATGGTATCCTCTAGCCACTGGAAGGTGGCTGTGTCCTGACACCACAGTTTCAGGGACCCGTCACTGTAGACAGGTTTACCACAAAACTGTATGCCGACGTCCTCCTCGCTGCACTCCTCCGCTCCTTGCGCGAGGCGCTGACATAGGGCCACCTGAACCATGTCGGCCTCGGGGCTCCGTATGTAGCCAGTTTTGGCTGAAGTAATTACCGCCATGAGTTCGAGCCTGGTGGCCTCGGCGTAGGTGCGTTGCTGGCCGGGCCTCTCAACCTTTTGCCGCTTGTGCTCGCCTCTAGGAGATATGGTCTCGTCAAGGCGGACACGTTTGGCAATGGTCGAGGACCTCTGCCTGCTCTCTTCCGGTTTGCTGTTAGAAGGGAGGGGGGTCCTTCCAGTGGGGTGCGCGACCGACCCATTTGACCGTGCTGATGCAGTCCCTGGGCCACTTGTGCCACCCATTGGGGGCCTCGCCTCTCCCTCCTTCGGTAGGGGGTTGTTTGTAATGCGACGCTCGCGTTCTCTGCGACGGCCTTTCTTGTTTTTACGGGCAGGGCGTCCCCTGCTCCCACTGGGAGCTGGAGGTGGACGCTCGCCGTGGCCACTAGTCCCTTCCTTGCAGATGGGTGCCGTGGCTTTGGGTTTGGGCTAGCGACTCACCAGGGTCCACCCTGCTTCAAGGGCCGCGTTTGAAGGGTATAGAGCGGGGCCGCAGAACCTGGGGTTTGGGCCACAACCGCTGGTGTGATGCTAGCACCAACATCGGTGCTCGGCTGACCTTGGGGTTTCCCCTTTGGCCTACCACTCACCGTAGGGCGCTGTGTGTTTTGTTTGCTTGTGGGGCACTTTTGGGTTTCCCCTCCAGTACCGCCGGTTTTGGGGATGTCCCATTCGGGACACCAGGATTGTCAGGAAGGTATAGGTGCAGGAGTTGAGAGCTCACTGCGCGACATCGGGGGCTCGAAATGTGCAGCTGGCTGACCTGATCAAAGTCAGGCAGGTGTTCCGCACACACTCACCCCGTCAGCATGGCCGAGTCAAACACCTCGCCTGTAGCCCTCTGACGGGACACAATGCCATTTCCCTGTGGTGGCTAATCACAGGGCTATCGCTTAGCAGGAAATCAGGGCCAAAGGGGGCGTATTGCTTGCCGGAGTCCCCACCCCGCTCGGGCTCAACCCCCCAGGATTCCTTCATCGCTGCGTACGGCGCTCAACTGCGTAGGCATTAGCGCAGGAGGGTGTAAGTTTAGACTGCACACCACGTGCCATGGTCCACCCCCAGAAACGCATGGCCGGGCCGTGTTGATCACTTCGCGCCCTCACTGACAATTCTCAGACTGAAGCCGAGGATTGTCAGTGTTGGCCCCAGGGTGTACCAGCTACGTCCTTGGGCGTTCTGTGATAACATGTTACCACAGACTGCTCAAAGACTTCGCACACGTGGAGGTGGAACAACGAACACACCCCCGTGTTTTAGGTAATTATTAACTACTGTTTTACAATATTTACGTCCTGTATTAAAAATCAATTTTGGTTTTAATTAAGTTTAAGTTTTAAAATTGAATTTAAAACAGGATGCTAATATTTTTAAACGGTAGTGAAAAACTGAAACATGCTCCACTGAAAAATTTTTCGAAATGGCGCTTTTGTCCTTTGTACTAACTACCAAAGATATACGCTTTTTGAGCATCTTTGCATATTTGCAGTTCAAGAATATTACCCGTAAGTTGAGAATTATTAATTACACGAATTTGTATCTTACAAAAAAAACTCGGTTACGATAAACGGTGACAACTCACGATGAGTTCCTAATCTAAACCAAAACAAATAATTAACGTCAGACTAGTATATATAGTTGAGAGATACTCGATAATTTAGTTAATTTGAACTCACTACCGTGATAGCAACTACAATTTAACCGATCAAAATGTTTACGAAAGTAATTTCCTTGCTTTTCTTAGTGCACTGTGTTCGATGTGCGCCTGCGGAAGGTTTGTTTTTTTTTCCATATCACAAACATCAAAAGTATCTAGGGATCAACCACGTTTTTGTCAATTACTGACAATAAAAAAAATTAAATAAAAATGTTTTTTATAATTTAATTTTTTTAACACCAATGGTAAAATAATTGTATTTTATGCATTTGATCTAACGATAATCGTTGCGATTTTTTAATAACAGTTTACGACTTGGTTGCTAGATGTTTAGGCCAATTTAAATAATCAGGAAGCAGTATAGCGTTTGAATAGCGTCATATTTAACATTTTAGTTAGCAAAAATACGATCTTCTTTTTTGAAACTTAATTTACTATAATAAAATTTTTCAGTTTTTTAGTAGCGAGTACCATAGACTACAGAATTTGAATTTGGAACTAAAAAGAGTGCCTTTGTGATATGGTTATGAAATTATAATTTATTGAATTGTACTCGTATTCATATATAAATTGTATTAAAAAATTATATGAATATTTTAATAATCATTAAATAAATTAGGAATTCGGAACGGTTACACATTTCCACGGACCATTCCATTGACTCTATTCTATACCTATGAACTCATACCATGATAAGAAATTTAGTGATAATCATTTAGTGAATAACCACACCACGAAAGCTTTAAATCTATGTAAATAATCTTGTCCATACTATTGCTATCAAATTATCATTCGCTTTTCAGACTTCCAAACGAGACCTTGTGCAGTTGACGATTTTCAATGTATCAATGAATCTTTTGAAGCCTTTATGACTAAAACGGCTTCCGGAATTCCTGCTCTGGATGTGAAAGCTAATGACCCTCTCATGTTAGACTCGGTCGTTTCAAATGTATTTGAAGGTGTTGTGGTGCATTTCAAGAATGTGACCGTAACCGGTCTTAGTAAACAGAAATTAACTGAGTACAAGTAAGTTAACGGTTATGAAACTTATGTGCATAAAATCTTAGATCTCTTGTGTCTGCCTAACGGTGGCTCTGTCTTCCCGTCCCTTCAATCCTAGCTTAACACCCGTGAAATATCTATGTATGTAATAAGGATAAGGGTGCTGGTAAAAAAACAGACATGTGGGACTTGTCAACTCATGTCTCTGGGTGACGGGCGCAGTGGCAGTGCCCTTAACATCTTTGCGATTTAAAACTTGCCGCCACCAGCAGTACGACATGTTCGTTCCGTCATTTGTTATCATAAAAAAAGCATATGCACGGTAAAAAATAAACATGCTGCATCATGCATGCATGCATGCATGCATGCATGACAAAATAATAATATGAAATATTATATTTAATAGGTATTACAAATAATTTATTTTTAATTTTATAGAATGGACACATTGGCAAAGTCAATTGTATTTACTGTCACTTCGGATATAAGCACAGCTTCTGACGTGGAGGTAGAATATGAGGAAACAAAGAAGAAGTTCACCGGAACCCACACAGGCAGTGGCAGTAAGTTAAACTTATTTAATTCTCTTTTTTTTATTTATCAGTTCTCCGCTAGTCATAATGGCATTTGGCTAAGGTTCATTTAAGGATGTTCCGCCATGAGCTTAACTGCCTCTGTGGTCGAACAGTTATCATGCTGATCTGACACGCAGATTTCTCGGGATCAATTTCTGAAGAACTATTTGTATGGCCTACATTTATTTCTCTCGTGAGTTTGGGTGTAATATGTGGTTGTCTGTGTGTGTGTCCATAGCACCCGCCGTACAGGGTTGCCCTAGTGCGGGGCTATAAAGTAAAAATAAAATAAAAAATACAGAGGTAGGCTGTTTGTGGTGACACAACGAACAAGCACACAAGCTTCTTAAATTACTTCTGTATAACCTAAAAATCGTAAATTAGCTGTTTAAGGGACTTACTATATTACTTAAGTTCTTTAGTAGCGTATTCAAAAGTAATTAAACAGGCAAGTCGTACAATAGCCGTACAGTGGTAAAATTAATCATTAGAGAGATAGAAAGAATATAGAGCTATTGTATGGGCATTGGATGCAAAGCTAGAGGCTATGAGTGTGTGCGTTAATATAATTATTATTTTAGATTAATTTCAGATTTTAGACTCTCGCCTGTTTTGTGGCCTAAAAGATTTATTTAAAACTTTTAAGCGGGGAAAGCGGCATATTATTATTATTATTGTTATAAAATTATGTTTTATTATGAGTTCTCCGTTTTATTAATAAGCATGGGCCAAAGTGAAGCGCGTGTCAGGTGGAGCTGTTAGTGGAGAAATGTGGG